GAGTATGTGTGTCGAGTCAATAGCGAGTTATCGCTAGTCGCGCGTTACGCGGTCATTTGTGTCTCGCGCGCAGTTTTATTTTGTCGTGTGTCCCGTGCGTGGTTTCTATTGTGTCGTGTGTCGAACGTTCGGCGTGTCGCAGGTGTGTGCAGCAGACCCATCAAGAGCTCGAGCCTTGGTGTCAAGACTCAAGTGATCTCGAAGCCCGCAAAAGGGTACACCTCAAGATAATAAGAATCGTTAAATTACTTTGTATAGTGTAATACTTCAGTTGGTGTAGGCCCTTATGGTGGGTAGTTTCGAGACCCTTCATGGTTGGGGACAGTGTGGCACTGTTCACATCACTGTACTTCGGCTCTTGGGGTTTGTAGGAGCTGGGAGTCATTCCCAACTCGTAACTCTTCCTAACTCTTCCTATTGTGTGTTCTAAGACCATACTGGCTGCCATAGTGCCGTTCGTTAAAACTGATGTTGCGTCGGCAATACTTGATGAACTCGTGCGATCAAAATTGCTAAATGTAGATGACGTTAAGACGCTCCAGATCCAACTTGAATCATGCCATTAGGATCTGACCAGAACGCTATGAACGTTTAAAGCCGTTGTGCAGAAATCCGACTCTCCACTCTATCTTTCGTTTTAGGCACATTCAAGCCTACCGTGTCGATAACAACATGTACCAGCCGGACTACTACAACGACGGGACCGGCCGAGTGTGCAATGTGCTGAAGAGTCTGTACGGGCTGAAGCAGTTGTTGCTGCTGTGGTACAAGGCGCTCAATGATGTGCTAGTCGGTGCTGGCTCGAAGAAGAGCGAGGTCGACGAGGCTCTCTACGTCAAGGTCGGCGCTGACGGAGTGGTTTGCTGGCGACTAGGGCGACGACCTACTCGCCGCCAGCAGCAGCACCGCGATGCTGATGGAGCTGTTGGAGGTCGCCTTTGAGCTGTGCGAGATCTCATCAATGGAAAAGTACCTCGGGCTAGAGATTGTGCGCGACACGCCGGCGAGAAAGTTGTGGCTGCACCAGCAGAACCATGCCGACAAGCTGCACAGGCGGTTCATCGACGAGGAGCAAACCGGGCGTACCGCGAAGGCGCGGGTCTCCGTCGACGCCTATGCCGAGCTGACATTCGACGACGAGGAGGCACAGGAGCGCCAGGAGGAGGAGTACCGGTAAAAGGTCAGCTCGCTGCTTTTTGCGGCGACGACGACGAGGCCGGACATTGCGTTCGCTTGCAGCAAGCTGGGGAGCGGCCTTACGGTGAGGGGCGATCAACACTGGCGTGAGTTCGACCGCTGCCTCGCCTACCTCGCCAACACTCGTGACACCGCCCTGGAGTTCGGCGGTAGTCTGGAGACGCTGGAGCTGGTCGGCTACGTAGACACCGATGACGCCGGCAACAAGCAAAACTGGACGACCACGAACGGCTATGTGTTCGTCTACGGAGGGGCCGCAGTCTCCTGGTCGAGCCAGTGCATCAAGTGCGCGACGCTGTCGTGAACCGAGTCGGAGAACGTGGCTGCCACCGAAGCCGACAAGGAGGGACACCGCCTTCGCTTCCTCATTGCAGAATTCCGGCAACTGGACGCCGGAACGCCGACCGTCCTTCAGGTGGACAACAAGTCGGCCATCACGGTCGCTGAGGGCATGGGGTTGACGGGAAACCTCAAGCACATGGACCGACGCTACGCTTGGCTGCAGCCCATGGTGAAGCGTGGGAAGTTTACGCTAAAGTACATCCCGACCACCGAGCAGCCACCCGACTTCCTAACGAAGGCGCTGCACTATTCGGCTTTCAACCGGTGCTCCGTCGCAATCGGCCAAGTGTGACAGGCCGACGTGGGCGACGGCGACGATGTCGTGCAGTAGTAGGTGCCATGCCCTCTTGCATGGCTGGTGCGTTGACGGCGTGATGTGTCTGATGTCCATGCCGACGAGCTATTCTCCGAGTCTTGCTGTCGTGTGGGCTTGGGGGGGGCCAAGCTTGAACGCGGCAGAGCAGTGTCAACAGGAGTAGTGGTTGGCCCCATCCTCGCTTACGCGGAGCCGTCTTTGCGGTCGACAAGCACAAAGAGGAGTGGCGCCAACTTGGAGGGCGCAGAGATTAGATGGTCAACCTAGCGAGGTCGACCTATGGAGGCGTCGACATACAACTTTCTGTCGACTTTCCTTGAACAAGTCGACGCCAACTTGGTGGTTTCCAGGTAGACCAAGTAATCAGGGCGACGAATTTCGCGGAGGAGCGCGACGGTCGCCCAGGTGGTTTTTGTCGAAGCTAACCTCGGTGGTGGTGACCCGAGGTCGACCTGGAGGATCAGGTGCAGACGTGGGCACGTGTTCGACTTGGTGTCTGAGCTGTGCAGGTGACGAAACACAGCACGCCAATCAGCTGCGAGCACATGCAAAGCAGGTGCGCTGCTGTCCTGCGGGTGCAACGCTGTGCAGCTGCCTTGTTGCAGCGTTGGCACGCCGTCTACTTGCAGCGCTGGCAGACCGCGACTTGCTCTGTTGGAGCGCGGTTGGCCTTGCAGTGCTGGAACGCGGTCGACCGTGCTGCGCTGGCAGTCGACCTGCTTGCGTGCTAGCTCCTGATGCAGTCAGTGTTGCTTTGCCATTGTTGATCATTGTTGTAAAGTTTTTCTAGTAAAAACTCTTGCAATCTTTCCCCGTGAATGAGCAGGTAGTAAGAGCACAAGCAAATGACTAAAAAACGCAGAGATCACCCTCACAACCGTGCCTAGCCCATAGTCTAGCTCCCGTTGATATAGTTATCTCCGCATCTCATTCCGCTGTCCTATCTTCAACACAATTTGCCCAAATTCTGCAAGTTGCCCGAACCCACGCCGTTGGATCATTAAATTAAATTATAATCATCGCTAAAAGAAACGTTGATAGCCACCGTCGCTCGGTTGCGTACCACTCGGGAGGTTTCGTGTTGCTCGACACTCCAAACCTTTACATGCTTGTCATTTTGAAATGACGACCGAGCTTCTGTGGCCCTTTCCAGGTCAGCCACATGATCACTCCCATCACCCCACACCTCATATAACCCGTCAACTAGTACGTCAGGTCATTCTTCCTAGTCAGACTTTTCCGCCGGTACATCCCGGCCACCTGCCAACTTCCACGCCACCGACAACCTTGGGCAACATCGAGAAGCACCATGTCCTCTAGCTCGGGATTCCGCAATGTACGTGCGCTCATGTAGCGGAAGGGCTTTTTGATGGAGGGAAGTGGGTAGGAAGGGATGGGGGGGTGAGTATTTTAGGGAAACTTATTGGGTTCCTTACTGCGCACCACCACAACACATACAACACTCGACCGTTCTTTGCCCGTTAACTCTGACGGTGTTTGCCACTTTGCGAGTGACACTTACCATACCACGCACTGCATGACTTGGTCATGTTTACCTAATCTAACGGGACTAGCCCGAACATCGTTGCCCGCATCGCACTAGCTAGCTCCCACGCACCACGTTAACTTTTTGCTTGTTTGATATGAAATGTTCGCTCATGCCTTCGCTCGTATTTGTTTTCCTTTGCCTTAGATCCCCGCTTTATTTGTAACACTAATTTAGCAATTCCTTCCCAGTGCACTATATTCCATCAGATCTAGTCTCTACAAAGATCCTACAATCAGCATAAATTTCGCTTATTCCAACAGTAACAATACTTAACGGTCGACATTCTTGATTTATTTTAAATATCAATAGACTTCCCAAATGCATCCAAATACAGATATAGAATAAAAGCATATCTACCGTTTATATAAATCTCATACAAACTTCCCCTCCCTCATTATTTAGAGACATCGCCAACTCCGTAACGCGTTCAGGGTGGCTCGTGCCTGTTTGTTGCGAGTTTGTTTCGAGCGGTTCATTTTGGTACGCAATGGTCAAAAGCGGTAAAAGCTGAGAACCGCTCCCAACATGAACCGAACCCCGACAGAAGCATGCCCCCCCCACAAGTGACGGTACGCGTTTGTCCAAATGAATCACTCCCCGCAACTCCCGCAACCCAGGTGTACCCCATCGCATTGCTGGTACTGGAGGCGAAAGCTACTCTGCTTTCGCCCCGCCGCGCAGTTTGAATCCCTTGTCATCCATTGGGATTGGCTAGCGGCACGCTGATCGCCTAGTACCAACAACACTTTCCTCCCGTCATCGCGCCGCCCCCTCGTTCATCCATCTGCGTCCCCCCTTGTGCCCATTATGACGACAGTCGCCACACCCCCCATCGACTCCTCCTCGCTGCCCCTACGCCATTGCCTAGTCCTAAGGTCCACCACATGCACGTTTCTGGGCCTCCGCGCACCTAGTCTGAGATTCCCCCGTCCCCCCCACTCACCTCTCCCTTCCTCCTTCCGCGGAAACGCTCTTCGGGATCCGCGAATTAGATACCAGGAATAATAAATCAGAATGTGCGATTGACCCCTCGCTCTCAAGACATAAATTGACGCCCGCTCCCGAGGGCTCAATCACATTCTCCCACCGCTCCACGCTCATAGCGTGCCTTCTTCTCCTTCTCAGTCGCACCTTCTCAGTCGCCGCACCTTCAAGTCCCCACCCTATTCACCTCGTCGCGACTACCAGCGGCGTGACTCCGGCGGTTCAGCTCTGATCGGAAGCTTCTCGCCGTTCCGCCGTCATCACCATCCGCGCCTACCCGCCTTCCCGTTTCCCCGCGCCGACTCCCGTCGCCATGAAGCCCTGCGCGCGCCTGTCCGGCCTGTGTGGCCTCGCCGCACTCGTCGCGGGTCTTGTTGCCATCAGCTTCCTCGCGACCCACGCCAGCGCCGCTGGTGGTGAGTAGGCTGACTGAAACACACCACGGGCAGTATTCTTGTAGTGCTGGCGAGTGGATGAGTGCTGGAGTGCGGTTGAGCGACTCACAATCACAGCAGAATCTGTCTCGTTTTGACCCCCTTTCCCTACCTTGCATGTGTGCTGGTGTGTGTGCCTCTCTGCCCCTTACTTCAAACAATCACGATTTCTGTGCAGACCTGTGTGCGAACGAGGATTGCGGGGAAGGCACCTGCGCTGTTGATGTAGACAATGACATACCGCTGTGCGTGTGCAAGGACGGTTTGGTATTCGACGACGACCACAAGACATGTGTTGTGGGTGAGTGAGTGCTGGTGTGTGGGCGAGTGCGCGCATGTGGGTGAGTTCACAATCATAAGCAACAGTTCCACTCATTTAACCCGCTCTCCCTGCTTCCACACCTCGGAACCCCCCATCACTTCCTCTGCAGACCCGTGTACCAGCGGGGTGTGTGGGGTAGAGGCTTCCTGCACCACTCTCGGTCCGACCGAGTTCCTGTGCAATTGCAACAAGGAAGGCTTTGCCTTCAACGAGGCGGACAAGACGTGCTTTCGTGAGTGCTGCACTGCTCAGCTGTAGGCACTAAAGTTCTCGAGGCACTCGCATTTTAGCATCTCAGCGTTTCGGCGTGTCAACACGCTGCACTGGGAGGCGCCGCTGAGAGGCAGCGCTTGGAACGTGAACCCCTCCTCACTCCTCACTCCTCACTCCTCACTCCTCCCGCACCTTCCCCCCTGTCTGTCCCCTTCCCCTCCTCTCCCCCGTCCCGCCTCCAACTCGACGCCTTCAATCCCCCACCATCCTCACGCAACCTTCAACGGGCTCATCGCCTGGCCAGCCCCGCTGGCGCGGACGACGGTGGCACTCAAGGCAAGAGGCTTCGGCCTGACGAACGCCTTCTTCTTGTCGCCGCTGCCGGCCCAGCAGGCCAGTGGCAGTGGCACCACGGTGTGCGGCAACCTGGACGTCATGCTCCAAGGCACCACCACCATCACTGCCGTGTGGAATGCCTCTAACCCCGCCTCGCTTAGCAACGACGCGCCCAGCAACGCCATGTGCAAGAGCCTGTCGTTCTACGCCGAGTCGTTCTGCAAGGAGAAGCTGGGCTTTACTATCGCGCGTCCTGCGAAGAAGGGTAGTTCCTACCCTGTCACGAAAAAGTGAGTGCGCTTGATGCACATGACTGGGCGCCCTTCTATCACCGAAGTCGCTTGACCATCGTAGTTGTAGCGTGAATGGAATGGAGCGAATGTCGTAACTCGCCTTCATCTCCGTCCTATCCTTTGGTCCTCGCCTTCCCTCTCCTTACCTCTCCCTCTCAGGACTGTCAAAGGAATCAAATCGCTGCTATCAGTTGGCTGCGAGATCAGTAAGTGCGAGCGCATGCACGTAATACTAAGGTTTCTAAGCACGCAATATCGATGACACTGGATAGATATGGTAAGAAACAGCGAGTGACACTACCAACCTCTTTTTTTGTGGTTCTTTTTTTCAAGCCCCTATTCCTCAACTGAAAAGCTATCCTCTTTCTCTACATGCCTGGATTGCTTGTCTCTCTGTGGTGCCCACAACAGCCATGTGTGAGAATGATTGTGGAAGTGCACAGTGCGTTGTGAAGGAGGGCCAGCAGCAGTGCCAGTGCCCCGAGGGCCTCGTGTTCAACGCCGCTAAGAAGCTCTGCCTCGACCCGTCTCCCACTCCTCGTCGTAGGTGCCTTGCAGTTTGTTGCATGCTTGCCAACATTGAAGAATCAGCTTCTCGAGTACCGGTATATGGTACCTTGTTGTGTATTTGCGAGTACACCAATGCACCAAGAGGAGCGGGCTCTGCACTGGCGGGCTCTGCACTGGCGGGCTCTGCACTGGCGGGCTCTGCACTGGCGGGCTCTGCACTGGCGGGCTCTGCACTGGCGGGCTCTGCACTGGCGGGCTCTGCACTGGCGGGCTCTACCATCTTTCCGTCTCATCTCATGTCTTACTCTGTTTCCTGCCCTTCATATGCCCCCTCCCGTTGCCCTCCCATTTGGCCCCTCCCATCCATTTGCACCATGAAGGGGCGGGTGGTGGAAAAGCGAAGAATGGGCGGCCCTAGTTGGACGGGCAGGGGCCAAGGACGTCGGATCGGGGGGTGGGGAGGGGGGAGGAGCGGGGGCGTAGGGAAAGGGGGTTGGGTTGGGGGGATCGGGGGGGGAAGGGGGGGGGTGGGGGGGAGGGAAGGGGGGGTGGGGTTGGGGGCTGATGGAGCAGCGGTACAACAAACTGTATGGGTTTGCTCGGAGGCTAGGAATTTAGGAAACGGTGTGCATGACAGGTTGGCTGGTTCACTTAGTGTATGGTACGGTAGTAGAACTGGGATTATTGATGTATGTTCTTCCTCCTGGTATGTTGTACAATGTAATCTACCACTTTTAGTTCCTTCAGAAGTCTTGGATGTCTTACGATAGCTGCAATCCACACTTTTCCTACTCTAAGCAGGACCATTCACCGCATAAACTACACTGGTAGTACCAAGGCTTACGGTAGTTGCAAAGAGTGGTCAGATCAGAATAAACACATACCGTACCGGTAAGGTCACAGGTGAAGCCCTAGTACCCGGGTGTGGCATATCCATGTTGTGTGACCTGGTTGGGAATCCTGCAACCCTGCAATCCTGCAACCCTGCAACCCTGCAACCCTGCAACCCTGCAATCCTGCAACCCTGCAACCCTGCAACCCTGCAACCCTGCAACCATGCAATCCTGCAACCCTGCAATCCTGCAATCCTGCAACCCTGCAACCCTGCAATCCTGCAACCCTGCAACCCTGCAACCCTGCAACCCTGCAATCCTGCAACCCTGCAACCCTGCAACCCTGCAACCCTGCAATCCTGCAACCCTGCAATCCTGCAATCCTGCAACCCTGCAACCCTGCAACCCTGCAATCCTGCAATCTGTACAGTAGCTCACTCAGAAGCATCCCTGCACTGTACTCATCTTCGCCTGCCTCCTGTGACCCTCCCCCTCCCCCACTGCCCCCGTCTGGTGCTCTCCCCCGGTCCCTCACCTTTCCCTTCAACCTTACCACCCTTATCCTTCCCCTCCTTCCTCCAATCTCTATCCTCCTCACCTTCCTCCTCCTCACCCTCATCCTCATCCTCCTCCTCCTCACCCTCCTCCTCATCCTTCTCATCCTCCTCCTCATCTTCCTCCTCATCTTCCTCATCCTCCCCTCCTCTACCCCCTCTCCCCCACCCAGCACCATGATTTGGGTTGCGGAACAGAGGTGCAGCATCTTCATCAGAATCAGAACCTTCTGAGTCGCTTCCGCTGCTGCCTGGAGTGAGAGATCGCCAAGGGGGAGGAATGGAGAGGAGGGAATCAAGGCGCGTTCGGATATTTCCAGCTGGAAAGTTTGAATGAGGGGGGTACAACTGGTGAAGCTGTATGGTACGGAATCTTCCAGTAAAACTGAACAAAAATTAGCAGGCGTTACCTGGGAAGGCACATCTGTGCATCACCTGGGGAGGGCACATCTGTGCATCACCTGGGGAGGGCACATCTGTGCATCACCTGGGGAAGGCACATCTGTGCATCACCTGGGGAAGGCACATCTGTGCCGGCATGTCTGGCCTGTGCGAGCTCCGCCTCCCTCTCCATCCACCTGTGCTGTGCCGCTATCACCTCCGCCCCGTCCGCACACGCCGCATACGCCTCCAGTAGCTCACTAAGGGAAGGGGCAGGCAGGCACAGGGGAGGGACGGAGAAAGGATTCTGATGTGGCTGTCACATGCCTGTCCGTCCGCACATGCCTCGTATGTCTCCAGCAGCTCACTGCGGGCAAGAGTATGGGGGAAGGGGCAGGCAGGCACAGGGGAGGGACGGAGGAATACTGATGTGGCTGCCGCATGCCTGTCCGTCTGCACACGCCGCATACGCCTCCAGTAGCTCACTGCATTTGCGAGCAAAGGGAGGGAGGAGCAGCGAGAGGGAGGGAGGAGCAGCGAGAGGGAAGGAGGAGCAGCGAGAGGGAAGGGAGGAGCAGCGAGAGGGAAGGGAAAGGGATGGTGGAGAGGAGGGAGGAGAGGAATGGTGAGGTTGACGCCTTTGCTTCGCTTGCACACGCCGCATATGCTGCCAGCAGCTTGCTGCAGGCAAAGGTGGGGAAGCGGTGGGAAGGAGGGGCATGAAGTGGTGGGTGGAGCAGAGGGAGGAGTACTGATGTGGCTGTGTCACGCCTGCCCCGTCCGCACCAGCTGCATATGCCTTCAGCAGCTGGCTGCACTGGTGGTGGGAGGGAGAGGGGTTAAAGGAGGACGGGTTGGGGGATTCATGCAAGAGATGGTTGGGAGTGAAACGGGAAGAGTGAAGAAGAAAGGAGGGATAATAGGGGAGAAAGGGAGAGTGGAGGGGGGAGGGTGGCAGGGGAAAGAGAGCAGAGGAGAAAAGGTATGGGAGGAGATAATCAGAGAAACGAAAAGCTGAAGGGAGGGGCAAGGGGGGAGGCGTGGAAGGTAGAGGGAGCAAAGGGAGAGGGGAAAGGTGGGCAGCGAAGGAGAGAAACGCGTGTAGAGAGAAAGGAGATGACTCGCCTGTTGAGGGAGAGGAAGGCGTGGCCCCACTTGAAGCGACTGAGCAGCTCCGAGGCTGTTTGCTTGTCGCCACTGGTTGGTGATGGGGGAGATGGATGGAGAGGGGGGAGATGCAGAAGGGACATGCATTCAGAAATGACGGACAACGAATGTGATGGGGATGCAAGACACGGATATAAACTCATTAAACATGAGTACACCAGCTTGTAAACGAACCACCAACACGAACCCGCAGGCTCAGGTGTGCAGAACCCACCATCACCATGTGTACGGTGTGCACCCCAGTACAACCACCAAGGGCACCCATCATACAAGGAGCACCACTATGTGTGCGTTGCCCCACCATCGGCCATGTGAGTATCCCCCTGGACACACTGCGTGCGGTGGTGTGGGTGTGGTACGATGCACCCACCAGATGTAGAGAGCAGCAGCCATGGCCTCAACGCATGACAGCTGGCAGGGCTTGCCGTAGTTGACTGGATTGGCAGCCACCAGCCACGGCACTGCACCACGGGAGGGTGGGAGGTGCGAGAACAATGGGAGTGAGAATCAGGCACCGATGAACGCAAGGAGAGGGTGAGAGACAAGGGGAGTGAGAGTAAGAGAAGCAAACCGCAACTAACTGTACATGAATGCAGCCGCATGCGGACTTGACACCACGTCACCTACTTGGCTTGGCTCTCCACAGGGACTCACACAGCCTGGGAGCACCCGACTCACACAGCCTGGGAGCACCCGACTCACACAGCCTGGGAGCACCCGACTTGAGGGCAGCGAAGGGCACATCTCCAAGGCGAGCCCACGAGCAGTCCACCACGGCCAGCCCCTTGGCTGCCAGCAGCGGCGCGTCTGCCCTCGACACCGCCCTCTGGCCTGTTGGACTGGGAGGGAGGGGGAGGTGGGGGAAGAGGGCGAGCAGAGCGATGGGGGGGTTAAGATGGGGCGAGCATAATTACAAGATCTCGAGCAGTTCATCATGGCCAGGGTGTTGGCTGCCAGCAGGGGTGCGTCTGCCCTAGACACCGCCCTCTGCCACGCTGGACTGCGGGGGGAAGAGGGAAGAGGGCGAGCAGAGGGATGGGGGTTAAGATGGGCTCAGGGATACAAGCCCTCGAGCAGTCCATCATGGCCATGGGGGTTTCGTCTGCCAGCAGGAGTGCGTCTGCTCTGCCCTTGACACCGCCCTCTGCCCCGCTGGACTGCGGGGGGAGAGGCGAGCAGGGAGAGGGGAGGTGAGGAAGGGCGGAGGAGGGATGGGATGGACGATTTCAGGCATGGAGGGAGGGGGGGGGGATGGGCAGAATCGAGCCAAGGGGCAGCACAATACGGCCAGCTCCTTGACTGGCATAAGCAGGCGGAGAGGGGGGGAGGTAAGGTGGAGAGCACAGGAGCGATCTATCACCACTGCACTGCGGCATCCCCCCCACCAGTGCTGCCCACATGTCATCGACCGAGTGTCAGGCGGCTCTCAGACACATGTGAATCTACTCCATTCCCTTTATTTCCTTCCCTTCCTTCCCCAGGCCTCCTCTACTGCTCTCGCTCTGTTCATCCCGCCCTTGTCCGCACCACCCATACCTTCACCCTCCCTCCTCCTCCCTCACTCCCTCCCTGCAACACTCACCTCGCACATGCGTTTGAGCGTTCTCACACCATGCACTGGCCGCACATGCGCTTGAGCGTTCTCACACCATGCACTGGCCGCACATCTACGCCAGATGAGCCCAAACAGGTCTAAGCGAACAGCTAAAGCATACGCCCTTCACCCCTCAATCAATCCACTGAGGCCCCCCCACCTGAAGCAGACGCCCCTTAACCTCTCAACTCCCAACCTGAGGCAGATGCCCACCTGAGGCAGATGCCCACCTGAGGCAGATGCCCACCTGAGGCAGATGCCCCACCCACCTGAGGCAGATGCCCCACCCACCTGAGGCAGATGCCCCACCCACCTGAGGCAGATGCCCCACCCACCTGAGGCAGATGCCCCACCCACCTGAGGCAGATGCCCCCAAAGCGCTGCTGCACACGCATCTCCCGAATGAGCCTCAGGCGCAGCAGCTTGCGCCCCGTGCAGCGCTTGCTGTCGCACTGCCCAAAGTCCTGTGCGTGGGCGCGCAGGGCAGCGGCGATTTGAGAGTGAAAGTGAGGATGAGTGGAGGGCATGGCATGCGCCTATGGGCCGTTTGTGCATACACAGTACAGACGCTCCCACCTCGCCATGTAACGCTTTCTGTTGCACTGACTAAACAGGGGCACTTGGTTAAAGCCTACAAGGAACTGAATAAGGCGGCATTTGAGGGCAGTGGCAGTGATCTAACAGGGAAGGAGAGCTTAATCCAGGAGCCTGTTTACTGCTGCTTGGCTGCTGTAGCAACAGCAGCATCAGCAGCCAGATGCTTTGCCACTACACTACTCCATGTGTTACCAGCGTGCGGCAAGGCCATCACACAGGGCGGGCGAGCTTTGCCTTAGCCATGTCTTGACGTTTGCCCTCACCAGACCTGAGTCGCATTGTACGAAGATGTGCAAACCTAAGCTGGCCGCCCCAGCGTGGCCAGCTAGCTGCTAACCTACGTGACACACAGCTCACCAATCGAGGACCCTTTCCATACAAACCCGGCCAGCAGCGGAATGAGTCAACTATAACATCCAGCCAGCTCACCCACATGGCGAGGTCCATGGGCGGCTTGTAGGGCTTGGCGTCCGCAGATGGCCGCGATGAGAGCTCTGTGGGCGCAGGGTGGGTGAACGGTGGGCACGGGAGGGATGGGCGTGGTACAGAATGAGAGAAACGTATGAACCGATACTTTGCCTGGAAAGGAATAAAAAGCAAAGAGGGAGGGACAGAGGGAAGCAGGGAGGGGTGGGAATGGAAAGCCATGGAAAGTGCACAAATTCTTGCGAGGGCTGCTCTGAGCGGGGTGAGTGGGGTGAGTCTGGTGAATGGGTGAGCTTGATAGGTGGGGCGGCGGTGGGGCGCGTGGGGGTGAGGGGAGGGAACATCATGAAAGACATGCGCTGGGCGCTCACTGATTCCCAGAAGGAAAGGGAAGGAGGAGCGAGGGAGGTGAACTGGAGAAGGAGAGTTTCAAAAGCTTTGGAATCACTAGCGCAGTATAAGGACAGATCACGGCATGAGCGAGCTTAAGGACAGATCACGGCATGAGCGAGCTTAAGGACAGATCACGGCATGAGCGAGCTTAAGGACAGATCACGGCATGAGCGAGCTTAAGACAGATCACGGCATGAGCGAGCTTAAGGACAGATCACGGCATGAGCGAGCTTAAGGACAGATCACGGCATGAGCGAGCTTAAGGACAGATCACGGCATGAGCGAGCTTAAGGACAGATCACGGCATGAGCGAGCTTAAGGACAGATCACGGCATGAGCGAGCTTAAGTCTCACCGTCCTGCTCTTCCCCCCTCCCGCCCCTCCTCGGGCTTCCTGCCTCCTCGGCTGCCCTGCCGCCCGCCCTGTGGTCGCTGCCGCGGAAAGGAAGAGGGAACAGGGAGAGGGCGATGGGGATTGCGTGGAGAGTGGGGGAGGGGACTGAAAGGAAAAAGGAGGAGCTAGGAATTGCTGCGCGACGAAAGTCCAGCTACTCCTAAGGGCGCAGTGGGCGAACCCGAAGCTGTCGCCGCCGCACTCTCGGCGCATCCGAACCTGTAGGCGTACCCGAATCTTTTGGCGGACCCGTGCCTGTGTGCTCGTAAATCGACTCAACCGCTACCCGTGCCTGCTTCGCGCCCATCGCGGCCGTTCCCCTCGTTACCTGGATCCGTTTGACCGCCGGCCCCCACCGTCTTTTCTTCCCCGCCCCATCGCCCCGCCGTTAGCCGCCGCGCAGAATAACGCGCAGTAAACTACACGATCGCCGAGAACTGCGGAAGGACGTGCTTGCGAAGGTATCGATAGTATGTCGTCGAGGCAGGTGAATGAATGGTATGTTGCTTGCTGGTAGCGGACTTCTTGTAACAAGTTTAGATTATTGTGTATGCGCGGGGGAAATGGCATTTTTTGCTGATCATCTGAACACTGCAACACACGCGCTCGTACTCTATATTGGCGCAACTCAAATATTTCCAGGTGGTAACGACACAAACAGTACAAACAAGCATGGAAATAGCAATACATGATGCCAGCATTCTTGTAGACTTCGTACAAGAACACACACCCTGGGCATGCCATTCCAAGTGCTAGGCTAAGCCTCTTAAAGCGACGGTGCACATTTGCCACCCAAAACCCAGAACCCTGGCGAACTGTTACTGCGGATGGAAAGTGTCCGCACGAAATCCTGGTTTTCGCCAGCCAGCACTTTCGCGCTGGCAAAGCCTGGTTCAAAAAAAAAACTTCTGAACCCAACACTGCCAAAAGTTGCCCGTCGCTTTAAAGCCGGCGGCCCAAATTGTTCATGCTTTTAAAAGTTGACCAGAGGGAGTTTTTCTGGTGTGGGCTTTGGCGAGAGTTTCCGATTTCGTCTAGGTTCGTTTTTTTCGCGAGACCCAGCCAACCCTCGGTTTTCCCCCTGGTGAGTGAATCTGTCTTCGAAAGTCCCAAATTGCAAGTGCGTGACTTTCAAAAGCTTGGACACTCAACTTCGTCAAGTTTTAAAAACTTGACCCTCGCGGCCCGCAATTTGGGACGCGGGCTTTAAAACCCGTGTCCCAAATTGTGGGCCGCGCGGGTGCAAGTTTTGAAAGTAGCGCACCTGCAATTTGGGACTTTCGAAGTGTGATCCCACCCACAAGGGGGGGGATCCGGGGGCTGGCTGGGTTTGGCGAAGAAGACGAATTTGACGAAATCGGAAACAATCGCCCAAACCCAAACCAGAAAAGCTCCCTCTTGTCAACTTTTTAAAGCCCGAGGTCAGCATGGTTTTTGGCAAATTTTCTGAAGGGCTTTAAACGTGTTGGCGAAAAGCGCGGGGCGAAAGCGAGATCAGGTTGCGAGGGGATTGGGAATTCGTCACTCAATATCGGTATGAGTGTGCGACAAACCAACCTAACAAACCAACCAAACGAGTAGCCAACCTCACCAGTCTTGTGTTAGTACTAGCCACAAAACATCCCGACAGCGCATCGTAGCATAGTAAAATACGCAGAATTTAGGAACTTCACCCGCGCATACACAATAATTTTGTGCCTCGTCTCCCGTAGTTGCGTCTCTTATCGCCGCGCCCCCTGTCCCATCGTCACGCCCGCTCGTTTCTGGGAGCCTCCCCTCGTCGCGGCTCCGCTCACCTCGTCGCGCCTCCGCTCGCCTCGTCGCGGCTCCGCTCGCCTCGCCGCGCCTCCGCTCTCCTTGTCGCGCCTCCGCTCGCCTCGCCGCGCCACCGCTCGTCTCGCCGCGCCTCCGCTCGTCTCGCCGCGCCTCCGCTCGCCTCGCCGCGCCTCCGCTCACCTCGCCGCGCCTCCCCTGCCATCAGCGCGCCAACACCCTCATCGCGCTGCCCCTCCTCGCGCCTCCACTCCCGCTGCTTGTTACCTTCCCCTCTATTCCCTCTTGTTACCTTCCCCTCTATTCCCTCTGCTTCCCCTCATTCCCCGTTTGCTTCCCCTCATTCCCCCCTCTTCTTCTCTCATTTACTCCCCTGCTTCCCCTGGTTTCCCCCCTGCTTCCCCTATTCCAGCCCCCTGATTTTCCTATATTTAACCTCCTGCTTCCCCTAATTTCTCCTTTTGCTTCCCCTCATGTCTGCCTCTCCTTCCCCTAATTTCTCCTTTTGCTTCCCCTCATGTCCGCCTCTGCTTCCCCGCATTTACCCCGCTGCTTCCCCTCGTTTCCCCCTCTGCTCTCATCGTTCCCCCCCTGCTTCCCCTCATTTCCCCCCCCCCTCCTTCCCCTCATTTCCCCCACTGCTTCCCCTCATTTCCCTCTCTGCTTCTCCTCATTTCCCCCCTTGCTTCCCCTCATTTCCCCCTCCGCTCCTCCTCATTCCCCCCTTCGCTTCCCCACATTCCCCCCTCCGCTTCTCCTCATTCCCCCCTCCGCTTCTCCTCATTCCCCCCTCCGCTTCTCCTCATTCCCTCCTCCGCTTCTCCTCATTTCCCCCTCCGCTTCTCCTCATTCCCCCCTCCGCTTCTCCTCATGCCTTCCCATGCCTCCCCATGCCTTCCCATACCTCCCCATGCATCCCCATACCTCCCCATGCATCCCCATACCTCCCCATGCATCCCCATACCTCCCCATGCATCCCCATACCTCCCCATGCATCCCCATACCTCCCCATGCATCCCCATACCTCCCCATGCATCCCCATACCTCCCCATGCATCCCCATACCTCCCCATGCATCCCCATACCTCCCCATGCATCCCCATGCCTCCCCATGCCTCCCTCCGTGCACCCCCTTCATCGCCTGCATCATGTCTTGCCCCCATCAGGTGGTGGACGAGGCGGACCAGCTGCTGCACCAGTTCTTTCGCACAATTTGGGCTGCCGGCTTTAATCTTTCGCAAACGGTCCTGATTGCATTAGCAGAAGCGTGGATTACATCCTCATTTTCACTGCTTTTTTTAAACTAACCATTTGTCTGCAACTGGGAGGACACTATGAAACAACCATACAACATACCAGCAAGCAAGCACACACATTTGTGCCGGTATTCCCAATTCTATTACCACACCCTAAATGGCAGCCACCAACCAAATTGTCTGTCTCCTCCGCCCAACCGCATGCAGTTGCTCGCACCTCTGCTCCATCAGCCTCCGCCGATCCGACGTTCCCCTGGCGCTGTCAGCTTGCGCCTCCTTGCCCCCTTCCCATCCAACTAGGGCCGCCCGTTCTTTCCTTTCCCACCAGCCCCTATATCAGTTCATTGTTGCAACAGGAGGGGGTAAATGGAGGGCAGGCAATAGCGTAAGACGTGAGATGATGACGACGTGACACAAATATGGTACCGGTAAATCCCGCCAGTGCAGAGCATGCCAGTGCACTGGCATGCTCTGCACACTGGCAATCACACAACAAGTTACAATATATACTCCAGAAGTTGACTCTTTCTTCTTGGCAGCGAACACCATGGCACTTACGAGGAGGAGCAACCTGGCAGAGCTTCTTAGCCGCGTTGAACACAAGGCCTCCGGGGCACTGGCACTGCTGCTTGCCCTTCTTCACAACGCACTCCGCAGTTCCACAATCATTGTCACACGTGGCTGTTGTGAGCACCAGTCGAGGCATGCAGAGGACGAGAATGGCTTTTCAGGCATAAGGAGGCGATCAAAGGAAATATATATAACGAGGTTGGGTGTGTGTCTCGCTGTCTCTTTGTGTGTCTCTTCTCTAATCTAATGTGCACGTGGCACAATTTAGACGAAGTAAAAATAACTCGGATGTAAAGTGCATGCGCTTGCACTTACTGATCTCGCAGCCAACTGATAGCAGCGAAGCGATTCCATTGACAGTCCTGAGAGAGGGAGAGGTAAGGATAGGGAAGAGCAAAGATGAGGACGAGTTACGACATTCGTCCAATTCACGCTCTACAACTACAACGGAAGCACAGCGAAATAAAATTTGGTGACAGAAGAACGTCATACCGTATGGCCCCGGATATAAGCGCAGGCCTATTAAAAGCGCATGCGCTTGTATCTGGAGCAATGCGCTTATGGCCGATCCTCAATTATAAGCGCACCCCTTATAAAAACCCTGATATATTATAAGCGCATGTGTAATTTTATTTATAATTATTCATTAAAACGGTAACGAATCTCAGTTTTGCAGCGAGGCCACAACCCATTTTCGCTTACATTGACTTTCGAAGACCTCTCACATCCTGCGCGTCCAGTCAGCACGAGCTGGCACGCCCTCAAAGTGAGGTGTTACACTGTATTTTGCCTCTGGGCGCTCGAGAAGAATCGCCCGCGCGCGATTTTGACATGTGACTTTCTACAATTTCGATTCGATTGAACACTGAAGGATGAGATGTACAATTTGGTGCATTGAAATATATATTTGTATTTGTTATATTATAAGCGCATGCGCTTATAATTTTTACTCAATTATAAGCGCACCCCCCAAAAAAACACTGTTTTATTATAAGCGCAGGTGCGATTATATCCGGGGTAATACGGTACCATGTGCTGGAAGCACACCGGGACAAACCACTGTCAGATTTATATGACATAGCTACTGTAGGCTAGAGTGGGGTAGCACATATGGGGTACAGTTTTCTAGGGTTTGCTTCTTGTACCCAACTTTCACTTAGTCATTCTCATTCCTGTTTTTCTTAATTCACATGGTATAGAGCGGGTTCCTACATGGGACCGTTCCTTCCTAAGGGCCCACCATAAGAAAAATTTTTTTTTTTAGCTGCCCGCGCACATTGCGCCCTGCCCTAATTTTTTTTTTAGCGGCCCCTACGCTGCCTCTACGCGGCCCCTACGCCGCCTCCCACGCGCCCCCTATGCGGCCCCTGGCGGCGCCCTGACGAGGCCCCTGCCGGCGCCCTATCGCGGCCCCTGACGCGCCCCCTGGTGGCCCCCTGACGCGGCCCCTGGCGGCGCCTGACGCGGCCCTGACGCGACCTGACGCGGCCCCTGGCGGCGCCCTGACGCAGCCCCTGCCGCGGCCCTGACGCGGCCCTGCCGCGGCCCCTGCCGCGGCCCTGAAGCGGCCCCTGACGCGGCCCTGACGCGGCCCTGACGCGGCCCTGCCGCGGCCCCTGGCGGCGCCCTGACGCGGCCCCTGACGCGGCGCCCTGACGCGGCCCCTGCCGCGGCCCTGACGCGGCCCTGCCGCGGCCCCTGACGCGGTCCTGACGCGGCCTGCTGCGGCCCCTGCCGCGGCCCTGAAGCGGCCCCTGACGCGGCCCTGAAGCGGCTCTGCCGCGGCCCTGACGCGGCCCTGACGCAGCCCCTGACGCGGCCCCTGCCGCGGCCCCTTACGCGGCCCTGACGCGGTCCTGCCGCGGCCCCTGGCGGCGCCCTGACGCGGCCCCTGACGCGGCGCCCTGACGCGGCCCTGCCGCGGCCCCTGACGCGGCCCCTGCCGCGGCCCCTGACGCGGCCCCTGACGCGGCCCCTGCCGCGGCCCCTGACGCGGCCCCGCCGCCTCCTCTCAGCGGCCCCGCCGCCTCCTCTCAGCGGCCCCGCCGCCTCCTCCCAGCGGCCCCGGACGCCGCCCTCTCAGCGGCCCCGCCGAGCCGCCCAGCAGCCTAGCCGCCCAGCAGCTGAGCCACCGAGCCGCCCAGCAGCCGAGCCGCCGAGCCGCCCAGCAGCCGAGCCGCCCAGCAGCAGAGCCGCCGAGCCGCCCAGCAGCCGAGTCGCTGAGCCGCCCAGCAGCCGAGCCGCCGAGCCGCCCAGCAGCCGAGCCGCCCAGCAGCCGAGTCGCCGAGCCGCCCTGCAGCCGAGCCGCCCGAGCCGCCCTGTCCGGTAAGAGCAGCGCCTCTCTCACAGCACTGCCCTCACCCCACTGTTTGCGCTGCTAGTCTACTACTGTCATGGCTACCCCTAGTGTCCTCGCTTTTGACGTTGAGGGTCGGGCCATTGACTTTGACGTCTGGATAGATGACCTGCAGCTTTTCTTACAGTGCGATAGGGCAGACGGCCTCTCCCTCTTTGACCTCACTTCTGGTGCCTCTCCTGCTCCCGCCACTGATGCTGACGCAACTGTTCGCTCCCAGTGGGCCACGCGCGATGCTGCTGCACGTCTTGCTGTGCGTCGCCACCTGCCTACCTCTGAGCGTGCGCACTTTAGCCAGTACAAGAGTGCTCAGACCTTGTACGACGCTGTAGTTGCACGCTACTCCTCCCCTGCCACTGCTGCACTGAGCCGCCTCATGCTACCGTACCTCTTCCCTGACCTTGCTGCCTTTCCCACAGTCGCTGACCTCATCACGCACCTCCGCACTAGTGACACTCGCTACCGCGCTGCGCTTCCTGCTGAGTTCTGCGCCAAGAACCCCCCCCCCATGTACATCACCCTCTACTACATCGTCACCCGTCTCCCTGACTCCCTTCGCGTAGTCAGGGACCACTTCCTCTCGGTTTGTCCCACCACTCTCACCGTTGACCTCCTCGAGAAGGCCCTCCTAGCAGCAGAAAAGAGCATAGTCGCTGTAGGAGCCTCTCGTGGTGACCCTCGCACCCCCATCTTTGAGGGGTGTTCCCCCTCCCCTCTTTTGCCCTCTGTTGCCTCTGCTGCTGCGGCCGACCTCGCTGGTTTGGAGTCGGTTGGGGCAGCGTCTACCCCTAGCGGGAGACGCCGCCCTGGCAGGGGCAAGGGGGGCAGGGGCGCTGGAGGAGCTAGCGGGGGCGGTGGAGGCGGCGGTGGAGGTGGTGGAGGAGGTGGTGGTGGCGGTGGGAGTGGTGGCGGGGGTGGAGGTGAAGGTGGCGGCAGTGGAGGCGCAGGAGGCAGCGGCGGTGGCGGAGGGAGCGGAGGTGGCGGCGGTGGAGGAGGAGGCGGCGGAGGAGGTGGAGCTGGTCGGGGTGGCGCTGCGCAGAGGGTCAGCTCCGGAGGTGGTCAGCGCCAGCAGCAGCAGCAGCAGCAGCAGCAGCAGCAGCGCACTCGTGACGTCCCCTCCCCTCAGCAGCTCCGTGAGTGGTACACTGCACGCCAGAGGGGTGGGGGTGCTGGTCCGTGCACCTACGTCCTGCGCACCGGCGACCGCGCGGGTGAGCAGTGCGGGGGTGCGCACTCCACCCAGCGCTGCTTTGGCCGCCTCACGGACGCTTGGCGTCACCAGTTCCCTGAGGCCACTGAGATCCCCCGCTGGGGTGAGCTGTCTAGGGCGGGTGTAGCTGTCTTTGACCTTGACTTTGATGCTATTCTTGCTGCCGTGTATACTGTGACTATTAGTGATGAGGGTGACTGTTACCGGTGTTTTCCGCCCGACCCGGGCATTGAGACTGCTGCTCTAGGTACTGGTGAGGCTGCTGCTCTAGGTGCTAGCGAGGCTGCTGCTCTAGGTGCGTCTACTCCCTCAGGTGCTGGTGAGTCTGCTCTCTCAGGTTCTGCGGCGGCTTCGGCCTCCCACACCTTCACACTTGACTCGGGGGCTTCTCGCTCCTTCTTTCGAGACCGCACCACACTCACGCCGCTTGGCCGGCCAGTTGCGGTCTCCCTGGTAGACCCCTCTGGGGGTCCTGTCCTTGCTCACTTCTCCACTGTCCTCCCGTGTCCGGCGGCCCCCTCTGGCACCCTGTCTGGTCTCTACCTCCCCTCGTTCTCTACGAACTTGGTGAGTGGTGCTGACCTACAGGATGCGGGGGTTCACCAGTTCACTCCTGCGAGTCAGCGGGTGACCCACTGCACGGACGCTCGGACAGGCCGCCACCTGGCCACGTTTACACGTCGGCCAGGGTCGAGCCTGTACACACTGACCACTACGTCTCCTCCAGTCCCTGAGTCTGGTCAGGTAGCTGCGTCGGGTCAGGTGTTTGCTGCAGCGTCCAGGTCTGGTCCTGAGTCTGCCCCCTGCTCGTGTCGCCTCCTGTCTCACGAGACTCTCCTCTGGCACCACCGCCTTGGCCACCCCTCCCTGCTTCGTCTCCGGAGCATGGCCTCCCGTGTCCTTGTCTCTGGTCTTCCCCGGTCCCTCCCTCCCCTTCCTCCGGGGCCAGGCCCTACCTGCGTCCCCTGTGTCGAGGGACGGCAGCGGGCTACCCCTCACTCCTCCCAGTTTCCTCCGACAGAGGCCCCGCTGCAGACGCTTCACATGGACGTGTGGGGCCCGGCCCGCGTCCGTGGACAGGGTCACGAGCGCTACTTCCTGCTGGTGGTTGACGACTACTCGCGTTACACCACAGTCTTCCCCTTGCGCAGCAAGGGTGATGTC